TTGATCAAGTATAAAGTGATTTGGTTAGTTAAGGTCATATGTCAACTTATATGCATGTAAGTGTGTCTGTCTCTGTATTTGAATGTGCATGCTTGTGTTCGCTTATGCACGAGACCCGAAGTGATGGTTCAAAGTAATTAGGACAGCAAAAAGGATCGTATAAGAGTAGGGTTTCGAGACTACCAGTAAATCAGTGAAATAAGATGTATTCACCCTATTTCGTGTAAGGTGATGAAGGACTGGTAGTAGGATTTTCCCACAACAATGATATGAGTTGAGCTGACGTTTCCATTGAATTTCACATAGCCTTGCTTTCCCAAAAGTTGTTTTCAACCTTGCTTTAATCAGTAATACGAGATGTATTCACCCAATTTCGTTTTAGGTGATGGAGGACTGGTAGAAGAAGAAATTTGCCACGAATTGATATGAGTTGAGCTGACGTTTTCATTGAATTTCACATAGCCTTGCTTTCCCAAAAGTTGTTCTCATCCAGGATAGAGTTTTAGCTGACTCTTGCTTTCCCAAAAGTTGTTCTCATCCCGATATGAGTTTAGCTGACTTTTCCATTGAATTTCACATAGCCTTGCTTTCCCAAAAGTTATTCTCATCCTGATATGAGTTGAGCTGACGTTTCCATTCAATTTCACATAGCCTTGCTTTCCCAAAAGTTGTTCTCATCCAGGCTTGAGTTGAGCTGACGTTTCCATTGATTTCACATAGCCTTGCTTTCCCAAAAGTTGTTCTCATCCAGGCAGAAGTGGACTGCAGTTTCGACCTCGCATCGGTCTTATCAACACCCTCAGCGGGAGTCGAACCGCGACAGTGCAGAATGGAAGCTTGACACGCTAACCACTCGGCTACACTGCCACGAGTACCCTTGAGTCACAGGGCATAATTGAATTTCAAGGAAGGTCAGGCCTCTGCTATATCAAGGTATGAAGACCAAGATCGTGTGCCTTTTTGTGTGGTAGCAGTATCCTTTCGTTGTATGGAAGTTGCTTGACCTTGTTTTCGCAACTTGGTCCTATTGGTTGGAAGACTTAGAGGAACGCACCTAGTCTGAATCCATTGTATGCATCATCATTTCCAGAGTAGGACCGTGGACCTGGTACATTCCCAGACGTTTCGCCTGCATCGTAGTCGGCATCATCAGTGAGTCTCGCCATTCAACAACTCGTAAAAGGGACAAGTGAAGCCGATTCTTTGACCAAGCGTGTGCTAAACAGCTGTGGTATCTCCTCTTCTTCCTTGGGCTATTCACATTTCCAAAATATTCCTATCACACCTTCCCTGTCACAATTTTTACAGTGCTCATTTTTATGTAGTGTGGTTTCAGTCATATTGTTAGGAAGACTTAGAGGAACGCACCACACTACATCAAAATAGGCACGGTTCAAATTGTGACAGAGAAGGTGTGATAAGATGATTTAGAAAATGTGAATGGCCCAGGGCAGAAGGGGAGATACCACAACTGTTTAACACACGTTTGATCAAAGGATCGGCTTCACTTGTCTCTTTGACAAGTTGTTGAATAGTGCTAAGAATGGCGAGACTCACTGATGATGCCGACTACGATGCCGGGAAAACGTCTCGGAATGTACCACGTACACGGTCCTACTCTGGAAATGATGATGCATACAATGGACTCCTGACAAGGTGCGTTCTTCTAAGTCTTCCTAACAATATGACCGAGTTGCGAAAACAAGGTCAAACAACTTCAATATGTAATATAGTCGATTTCATAGCAAATATGACATTACTTCGTCTACAATCCCACTACAGAATGCGATATAGAAAAATTCCCGGACTTCATTGAAATTAATATCTATCCTGTGATCCAAGGGTACTCGTGACAATGTGAAGTCATGGGTAAACTGTTGAGATTATACACCTAACTGTCATGGTTCGAGTTCCGCTGGAAGTGCGGATACAATCTAAGCGATGTCGAAACTGCAGTTCACCCCGGATTAGAATACCCTTTTGGAAAGCAAGGCTATGTGAAACTTATATTCGTATTAAAGTAGGGTTTCGAGACTACCAGTAACTCAGTGTAATGAGATGTATTCACCC